CCCCCCCCCCCCCCCCCCCCCCCCCAAAAAAAGAAAATAGTACATACATACATAAATAATCCCTTGAAATTGTCACTTTTGCCCCACTAGAAGTGTGTGGTGGTATCTGTATCTGCAAAGACTCTCATTTTCCATTAGCAAAGCTGTGGACAACACCTTGTACTTTATCTCAGTAGCACCTCATGAGAGGTTTTTCGAGTGAGCTGAGACAATACCAGAAGGTAAACTTGAAACATCGCAGATCACAGATTTTTCAGACAATTGTCATTAGTGCGACTCGGGACATCCTGCACAAAGCCACCATTTTTAAAAAGCCATGCTACCGTAGCCACCGCCATTTTTTATTCATGTCACCCAGATTTCTTTTAAAATGTCAACCCACAAAACTACGCCTTACACACCATAAAACTGAGGGCAGACGTTCTTCTATTCGGGATTCAGCGAGTGTCCCGTTGAAGATGATGTCACGGCAGTTTTATCCGGAGTTGCTACGGCGATCAGCTGAGAATCGTCCACACTGCAGAGTGCTATCCTCAGTGGAAAACACGGCTATCGAGGACCATTTAGTAGACATCCCGCATTACAAACTGGGGGTGTGACTTTTGAAAGAAGTTGGCATTTAAGAGCAATTGAAGATGCTATTGAGATGAATGGTGGGAAATGAAGGATCCAGTGATTTTGGAGCTTAACTCATAATAGTGAGTAAAAGTCAGGATATCTTGGGTTCTGTGGCGTTGATTTTGATTCTCCTTTTTTTATCTTTCTTTTTTCAATGCCCCACGTTTATGGAAGTGCAATACAGAATTATTGGAGGCCCTTTAAGTGTTACTTGGCAGGAAGTCCCAGAAGCTGTCACAAGAATGAAGATCTTTGAGATATACTAAACATACAAAAAAAAGATTTCCAAATTGCTGAAACATCTAAAAATACAAGCTTGTACAACTGAAAAAATATTGGTATCAGCATTTTTTTTTTTTAAACCCCCAACTGGTCACATGGTAACTACTGTCTCCTTTCTGTTTTAGGCAGCTACTCCTTGTCTGTGAGGGACCGTGACCCCCAGTCTGGTGACACTGTCAAACATTACAAGATCCGTACGCTGGACAATGGAGGATTCTACATCTCTCCACGCAACACCTTCAGCACCCTGCTGGAGCTGGTCAGCCATTACAAGAGTGAGTTCACTACTGTCACTGAATGACTTTAACCTCCTCACAGCCGTGTGTTTGAGCAGTCTAGTTGAGTAATTGCTTTGTCATTAAAATCATGATGTAAGGTGCAAATAAGGGCTTCCCAGTAATCAGTAAGGGGTTCATTTTCTCAAAATATTTCTTATTTAATGCTCTCAGAAAATAGTAACTTCAGTTCAGTCTGTGTCCCTCCACTAAGTGTGAAGCAGAGCACACCCTACTGGCCAACTTTAATACCTTAACCTATGAGAAACTGTTGTTTTTTTTGCAGTTGCCAAGACACAATATCTGGAACTAGTTGTACCATTATTAAAAACCACAAACTCATGTGGCCGATCTGTTGTTCGGGAATCAAGGAAGGAATCCTTTGCAAAAGCAAACACTTCTTTCAAAACTATGTAAACTCTTCTAAAAAGTATATTTTTGCACACACAAAAACCAAATAAATAGCTCTTTCTTCATGCCAAGTGCACACTGACGTGCTGACTATAAAACATTATTATCATTGTCATTTGTCGCATGTTGTAAATACAGAATATGAACACAGATCCAGTTAGACACAAGTTCTAAGGCGAGACACTTTGGCCAAAACCATAGCTTTTCATGCACTGGTCAATGTTAACATTTTGGTTTCTTTTTCTCCAATAACATCTTCTTTCAGACAAGTGAAAAGAAAAACATCTGATGCACACATATTTTTTTACTTTACTACTTTATCTATTTGCGTTCTCCTAAATTCCCCAAAGGTTATCGATAATGACTCATTTGCACATTTATGAATACATTTTTCAGAGCACTTGTACTGCAAAAAATGATTCAAAACTTCCCTCAGTGATCAACTGGGGAAGTTTCCCTGTGATATGTAACAGTTAATTCTTTAACCCCGTTCACCTGTAGTATCTCTCCTTAACTGAACTTGACACGATCATATTTACGGTATTGTACTGTTATCTAAATACAGTACACTGTGACTACAGTCATCTCTCTCTTCAACATTGACCTCCATTGTTGTGCACAAACAGCAAACCTGGAATCCTATTCATAGCATTCTTGGGCAGGTGACTGGTAATTGAGTGTAGGTATATCAAAGGAAGTGTTAAGCAAACAACACGCACAGGCTTTCAGTTTTGAATGACGAGGCTGATGTAGATAACTGTGTGTAGTTATTTGCAAAAAGTGTGTTTTAGATCAATTATTATGCCACAAGGTATTGTTTCTTGGCAACTGCAAAAAACGATTAAGTGATAAATTAAATTGCTCTTCAGTAAGTACTGGCATCAGCAGAAGAGTGTTTTCATTTTTGCTGAAAAAAAACCAATATTGTGCTGATTTATATTGTATAAAAACATTTAATCAAAGGATTCTTAAAGTGTTTTTTCTGTTTATTCCAGAGCAGGGAGATGGTCTCTGCCAAAACCTGACCAGCCCGTGCTTGAGCCCCAAACCTGAGAAACCGTGGGAGAAAGACGCCTGGGAAATCCCCAGATCATCACTCAAATTGGATAAAAAGCTCGGTGCCGGCCAGTTCGGAGAAGTCTGGATGGGTGAGATGGATCCGGATCGTTTTACAATCCAGTTACTGATTTAGATGTGAAGCCGGCAATTCATTTTCTAATTATGATTTGTTTCTGCTTAAAGCCACGTACAACAAGCACACCAAAGTAGCAGTGAAGACCATGAAGCCTGGCACCATGTCAGTGGAAGCCTTCATGGGCGAGGCCAACCTGATGAAGACTCTGCAGCACGACAAGCTGGTCCGACTCAATGCTGTGGTCTCCAAGGAGGAGCCCATCTATATCATCACTGAGTACATGGAGAAAGGTGTGTGTGTGTGTGTGTGTGTGTGTGTGTACACTTGTACAGCTATCCTTGTGAGGACCAATTTGAGTTTTAGACATTCAGAGTGAGGACATTTTTGGCAAGGAGGACATTCAAAAGCCTGTTTGAGGGTTTAGACCTGGTTTTCAGGTTCAGATTAAGGTTAGGGTTGGGGTGAGGCATGTAGTTGTGATGGTTAAGGTTAGTGCATGGCCTAGGGAATGCATTATGTCAATGAGAGTCCTCACAAAGAAGTACAAGGGTGTGTGTTTTCTTGTACAGCTATCTTCGTGAGGACGTTTGACTTTCACTTTTGACTTTTAGAACCTCAGAGTGGACATTTACATTTTTGCCCATCCTCACTTTGTACTTCACTGTTATTTTGGTCATCACACACACACACACACACAGGTACATACATGGATTTGATCCTTGCATCTAACCCACGATAAGCTTTAAGAAGCAGCGGCTTGCAGTAATGCGCCGGAGGAGCAACTTAGGGTTCAGTGTCTTACTCGAAGACACTTCGACACCCGGACAGGAGGAGCCAGAGCTCAAAAGACAGCCCGCTCTGTGCAGTTGTTGTGTTCTTTTGATTTAAGTCGGGTTATTGTTGCTCTTCTGTTGCTTCAAATTTGTCCATTTATACCAACAAATATAATTTTTCCCCCAAAACCTTGTGTATAGACAGCCTATAAAACATCTACATCATATTACCCTAAACGCCATTAAACTGAAAGGCAAATCAGAAATCAGTGATTCCCAAACAGAGGTACATGTACCCCAGAGCTGGTTAAGGAAACACCGGTGTAGCACATTGAACTTTACATGTAGCATGCGTTTCTTAATCTGTGTGTGTGTGTGTGTGTGTGTGTGTGTGTGTGTGTGTGTGTGTGTGCCTATAGGTAGTTTATTAGACTTCTTGAAGAGTGATGAGGGCAACCGTGTCCAGCTTCCCAAGCTCATCGACTTCTCTGCCCAGGTGAGAGATAGCGTCACTCCTCCATTCTATGCATGACAGTTTGCCAGACTCACCCAGCAAACTCTGGTTATTTTGTGTTTTATATCAACAAATCATCTGTGTGTCTGCAACACTATAGTTGCTATTGGCAACTATGTTTTGATTCTTTTGCACTGACTTATTTGTCTCTAGACCGCAGAGGGTATGGCCTACATCGAGCAGAGGAACTACATCCACAGAGACCTGAGGGCTGCCAACATCCTGGTCAACAAGGCTTTGGTGTGCAAAATCGCTGACTTTGGCCTCGCTCGCATCATCGAAGACAACGAGTACACGGCCAGGGAAGGTACGGCGCGATACTCACCGTCACACGTTGCGTAGCTGGGTGTCTTCAGCATAAATGATTAGGAAACTGGGTAACTAATTCCCCCAGAACTGATGAAACAAGAGCGGTCAACGGTTTCGTCAGTTCTGGGGGAATTACTTTGTGTCAGCGAGATGTCGGATTGCCAAAAATAGTAAAGGGTGAAGATGAGATCAGCTTGCCAACTGGCTCACTGAAGAGTTTGAGAAGATATACGTGTCCAGCATGGAACGAACAATGTCAACATTACTTGACTGGTTTTCCATTTTGCCCTACAACCCAGGAGCCAAATTCCCCATCAAATGGACAGCTCCTGAGGCCATCAACTACGGCTCTTTCACCATCAAATCTGACGTCTGGTCCTTTGGCATCTTGCTGACTGAGATTATCAGCTATGGGCGTACACCATACCCAGGTAAGTGGATCACTGGTGTCAGCTCTGATACAGAATGCTTCTGAAGAGCAAAGGCGTTATTCTATTTCTGCACCTAAACTGAGAGCATTAATTGTCTTGGCTTTGGTTTAAAGTGGCCTTCCAAAATTAGGTAAAGGTACCACCAGATTTACCTTGTGAGTGTGGAGCGCTATTTGTAGTCTCCTTCTTATATCAATGTCAACCGGTCATCACCTCAGTCCTTGACAGTTTATCATTTTGTATCAATCAAGTTTTTCTTAAGGTATTAGGACGAAAAAGCTCCAGGCAGCATCAAAATGACGCTTGCAGTAAAAATTACAGTATTCTGCGGCTGGGAGGTACATTCATGTGTTTTAGGCGGGAATACATTCTTTGTAATATAGGTCAACATGTCACAGGAGTCACAGGACCCTGATTGGCTATGGGTACTCTCTGGCCGCACACAGCTTTCCGTCGACATTGCATGACACCTCGCCGCCAGCCGCACTTTACCGCTGCTCTGGTGTGTTTTTCAACGCTAAGGTTAGCCCTTGATTCCAGGTGCAGCGGTAACAAGGTTTTGAATTTTGAAGCTTTTACGTGTCTTAAAAAAAGTGCTTGCTAACAAGTGGCTAAATGAGACAAAATGTCATCACACCGAACACTAGTCCTCCTTTAGCTTAGTGGTGGTGACGTTCAGTCATGTGACAGTGGTGTAGTAGCCTAACGTTAGCCTAACGTTAGCTTTCTTGTGGTGATTGCATTCATGCTTCAAAAATCATTAAAAAGGTGTTTATTTGTGAAGATTATCTTGCTCAACAAAACATGTAAGTATCATAAACTTGTGTTTGCCTCAGAATTTATTTTTTAATGTGCTCATAACATCAATGCTAAAATGTTAGCCGCGTTTTAGCATGATAACGTCTGTTAATGAGTTGTAAACACAAGGTACAGCAGAGGCTGATGGGGATGTCATTAGTTTTGCAGGTATTTGGCCATAAACCAACGCATCGGACAATTACAATTTTGACCTGATGATGGCATTAGTAAAAAAGTCAGATGGTCACGAAAGTTAGGACAACATTAACCAAATTACATGGCAATTCATCTAATATTTTTGTCTGGATATTTACCTCAACACCACGATTCATCAATGTTATTATACTGCAAAAGGTAATGTAACCATTGAATGGCCATGAATGGCAGCCCATCCAGCCTCTCTTAACCCAATCCCATGCTCTTGTTTTCAGGGATGACCAACCCGGAGGTAATTCGTGCCCTGGAGAAGGGCTACCGAATGCAGCGCCAGGACAGCTGTCCCACCGAACTCTATGAAATCATGCTGGAGTGCTGGAAGAACAAACCTGAGGACCGTCCCACCTTTGATTACCTGCAGAGTGTCCTAGAGGATTTCTACACAGCCACAGAGAGCCAGTATCAGCAGCAGCCATGAGGCTGAACATCCACAGACATGTTTTTCTCTTATAGTGCTGTTCTTTTCATACTTAACAGCGAGTCCAGTTTCTACATGCAGCAGTGCAATTCAGAGTGCGCGCACACACACATACACTCTCTCTTTACCATTCTCTCTCTCTCTCTTGGGTTGGGTTGAAACTTCATTAACTATATATTGTAGGAAGCTAAGCATCACTTCTCCTAACATTTTTAATATTTCCATTGGATTCTCCTCACTTTGGATGAGAACAGTAAAAGTAATAGTAATATAATCACACAAGAGAGATTAAGATTACGACGCCCATGCCAATAATGCATTATAAACATACTTGTTATTGTATTGTGTTTATAGCACTGCACGATTATAGTTATAAGCACTCATAACTATTTATAATGCTTTATTAATCAAATCATAAAACATTATAAAGTATTATATAATGACTTAGAGGTCAGGTGTCATAATACTCTATAATTGCTGGTCACTCACTGACATTTCTTTTTGCAAGGATCATAATGTATGATTATTCCCATATTGGTCAACATCGTAATCTTTTTATAGTGCAATCACTGCTATAATGCATTATTATCACTGTTATAATGCATATATGCATTATAATGTGATTCTAAATTACTCTAAGAGGACAAAGTTTGCTTTTAGTAAAGAAAAATAAAGAATGACGAAGAATATCATTAAATCTATGCAAGAACAACACAGAAAGCATTGTATTTTGTATAATTAATAATTGTTACTTTACTTAAAGCACACAATAACCACTGAGAGTTGCTTATACAATCACATTATAATGCATTATAACCTCCACTGTGCGGTAAAAAAGATAAAAAGCCATACCACTCTTCTACCCTCATCCCCCTGATCCCTCTTATAATGTTTGTATGGTCCCTAACATTCGAACAAAAGTTGTTTTACATAACATCACTGTACGATACATGCTATGGCATCTCACACACAAAATATTATTTCACACAAGCGCACGGCCATATAGCAAACAAACAAGGCCACACGAAAGCAGTCGCAAGGAAAAAAGACTGGATTTCGTTGTTGTGCTCCAGCGCACATCGTACATCCATCAAAGGAAGGTACGACCGCTGTGAAGTGTGTTGATGTCAACAACAGAGCAAGCAAAGCTGTTGTTGTCAACCCCCCGTCAAACGTACAGTGTCCTACATTGCGAAAGGAGAGCAGGGGTGCAGTGGACTTTACAAAGTGCAGAATACTGTGTGGCTGATATATGCTTAAATCTTCTATTTACAGTATATTCCATCGATATGTTCCAGCACAATGTGGCTTGAAATTAGCATGACCCCTTTGCCGTGCCTTTTTCTGTCTCAACATTTATAATATGTTCCATATGCTCTGTGTATATAGTACGCAAATAAATACAATTATTTAGGAATAGGGTTTAAAGTGAAGCTATATTAACTGATAATGCGTGGTCATCTTTTTGGCTCACTAAACTTTTGTTCTGTATTTGGGAACTAAATCTTTAAAAAAGCAGTGCAAACATCTTTAGGCCTTCTTGTTTTTTGTGTGAAATAATTAATTTATTTTTGCAAATGGTATTGAATATTAGTGTATGCAATGATCTTTTCTAACCTACCTTTTCTATCTTTATTTTGCTATTTTTTTCTGCACAGTTCGGATAATGTGATTCTTGTATTGTTGGAAATAGCAATGGATTTTGTGGACCAAGATCCTTCAAATTGAAATGATATATTTTAGGATGTTGTTATTTCATGATTTGGTTAGAAACAATAAGTGAGAGAATTTTTTTATGGAACGGAAATATAGAGAATGATCTGTTTGTTCTTTTCTTTATCAATATAAAACTCTTTGCATATTTTATTTTGTTAGATGCTTGGTTCAATGCAACTGTTGTAAACATTTTCAAATAAATTGTTTTAGAAACAATTATCTACCCAAATGTGCATTTATATAAAAGCAATCAATGTTTGATATTATTAATTTTTTTACACACTTAATGCGTTTGTTTGTATGCATTAATTGCATTAATGAACGTGGAGCCAAATCATAATGATTTGAAAGCATACTATTTATGATAGTTAACAGACAAGCATAGTAGTGTTGCACTATTTCTAAAGAAGATGGACAAAATACTGTAAACGCTTTGTTAAAGGAATTACTATTTATTTGTATAAGTAGGTTAGTGGTTTCATTCCGTTGAGTCAGATATCACTCATCTGAACTACATATGGCCAGGGTGTGTCAAATAAAAAACAAATGCATTCATCGAAAAACCATAGAGCACTTCCGCGACGTCACTTGTGACACGTATTCAAAATGGCGGCCACGGCTATGGTAGGTGGAAAAGCGAACTCTTTTTCTTTAAACTACACCTCGCTCATACGGTCTTCCCAAATGAGCTCAGACGCAACGTTGCAGTTGTGGGAGTGTAAATGTCTACCTTGGTCGATAAACAACATTTTAACGTTAATTTCAGTACGGACTTACTAGAGTTCGATGCTGTTTGGATGTTGGCAATTTAGCTAAATGCTTGCTGGAGTTAGCTAACGTTAGCTATCTTTAACGTTACCTAGCTTGACTGTCAATGAGCCGTGGCTCAAAAAAACGATTTGTGTCATTTGTCTGATGCATGAAACTCTGCTGACAAGAGTACAAATTGCCACGTATTTGGTTGTTAAACTGTCATTTGCCGTACAGCCTAGAGAAATCAGCGAGCCGAACTTTGACTCAACGTTAGCTGTTAGCAACTCTGCCAGACAGTGTCAGTTTGAGCTTGTTGTCGCTGTAGTTTACGGTGCTGAAAGATGTCAAGATGACTGCAGCAGATGAGCTACACAAGACGAAGAAAACGTGAACTAAACTGTCTACGTTATTTAACTGTGCTGGCACTGTCCGATAACGTAAATGGCGTTTGTGTCAGAAGCCACGCTTGCTAACTTCCTTCTCTACCGCATCATAACTCACAATGCCTATAAAATACATGCGCTCCTCTTTCATCATTTATGCGATTCAACACTGGAAAACAATCATTACTTGTCTTTTTGACATTGAACTGTAGAAAATAAACAAACTAATGTCAGAACGAAACATGTATCTTAATGACAAGATAATTACGGTAAATCAATAAGTAGCCCCCCCCCCCACTTCCCCCTTCGCTCTCGATTTAGGGAACTCTTGGCAACAACTACAGCCATGACTATTTGGATAGGCGGACCTGTAGCTTTGCACATCAGGACACTGCAGTTTTTCTCCCCACAATTTGTATTTTAGCACAACAACTTAGGCTCTGTCAAGTTGCACGAGTGCTGCCACAAATTGAGGCGGGTGGAAGGGGGTCCTCCACTAAGTTCAATACCCAGCTCCTCCAGTCCACATGTCAAAGTGTGGTTGACCAGAACACTGAACCCCAAGTTGCTCCCTCTGGTTGGGCCAGTACCTTTGCATGGTGGCCTGCTGCCATTGTGTGTGGTAAAGCGATTTGGATTGCATTTACGCGAGGACTCGCCCACTCCACATCAACATTCTTGTTGTCGGGGCATTTTTAATTTCTATGGCTTTGTGTGTAGGATCGACATCTTGTTGGAAAATAAGTCTTTGTCTCCCCTCGTATCAGTTCTCGTGCTCATGCATGGGAATGAATTACAATATAATAAGTGTCTGATCCAGTTCATTGTTCAAAATGTTTTAAGCTTCTTCCTCCCAGACTTATTTTGGACTTGCTGTGACAAATTCTGAGCTTACCGACACATGTTGAGTGTGAGTGTGTCTGTGTGCGATGTAAAACTGTCATGCGTGTTAATGTGACTGGCAAAAAAATAGGATACGTGACTGGCCGATCAGCTGAAAACTGCTTTGATCGGCAGCCGATCGATCGCCGCATTTCTTAATGTAGAATGTTCTGTAACCGTCAAATTGCATAATACACATATTGTGTATTGTAAGTGTCTGTGTGGTGAAATGTGTGCTGGTGTCTGTGTTGCAGGAGACGTGGTGGGCCTTGCTGCTGTTGTCCTTCTTACCTGTTGTCTGTCCCTTCTATGTTCCCGGAGTCGCTCCCCGGGATTTCCACGAGGGGGACACGGTAGATCTGAAGGTAACACTGGAGTTCATGCGGTCAACATTTCACATTGTGGAATGTTTGTTCAGTTTTTAGCACCATTGCCGTACATCAAGTGTGAAAGAGGCTGAGGGACCTGTCCGTCAACCGGAAATTCTTCAAGTTGAGCCTTGTTTTTTGTTTCTTTTTTTTTTTTTTACAGAGTTTAATTTCATGAAGAACTTTGTGCTCCAGTTAGCTATTTAAACATAGTAGCACAGGGAGCAGAGTCCTCCCGCAGGGAGAGACGCCTCAGCGATTAAAAAAAAATAAAATAAATAAATAAATGCAGATTTATGTTCACAAAGATATTCCCATTTTATGAACACAATTTCCCATTCCAGGTGTCCAACAGCCAATTCTGTAATTTGGAAATTGCCAGTTACTTTGTTATAAGATAAGATTTTTTTGCGAAACACGACGGCTAGAAAGCCCCCACCCAAAGTACAGTTTGCAATGCCATTCAGACCGAGCTGCTGCGAGTGTAGTTTTGCATATCGCTGTATCATCTGTGACCCTGTCAGTCAGTGAGATCATTTGTTTTTCAGGCAGTGAAGCTGACCAGCTCTCGCACCCAGCTTCCTTATGAATACTACTCCCTGCCTTTCTGTAAGCCAGACTCTGTATTCTACAAGGGAGAGAACCTGGGTAAGTGCACAGCTGCTGACATGTGTGGGACAAGCAATGTCCTCTTGCATTTTGTTGTTTAAAAACAAACTGTGTCTCTCATATGTATGTATGTATGTATGTATATGTATATATGTTTTTCTTTTCTAATTATTACAGGTGAGGTATTACGTGGGGACCGTATTGTGAACACCCTCTACAATGTGGAGATGAACAAGGATAGGAAATGTGAGATGGTATGCAACAAGAAAACGCTCAACCTAGAAGAGAGCAAGCTGATGGCTGAGCGAGTCCAGGAGGAGTATTATGTGCACCTGTGAGCATCCCTTCCTCACTGTTGTTTCCAGCTATTAATATATATATTACACCTACTATATTACTTTATTTGAATTGACTAATAGTTTTTGTTCAGTGAATCAAGGCTCTATACGTCTACATAATGATTGAAGCCGTTCCTCTTCTTGTACTTTGTAGCATAATGTAGTTGGAAGATCATTTCTCTTCTGTTCTCAATCACATATTTAAGATGATCTTTTTATGTTCAAAATGCAAACCAAAACCAATGGAACACCTCTCCTGTGCTTTTCAGTATTGCAGATAACCTGCCAGTTGCCACCAGGTTAGAGTTCTATCCCAACAGAGAGGCAGCCGTGGAGGAGGAGCAGAAGAAAGACGTGGCCAAAGATGTCCAGTTTGAACACGGCTACAGGCTGGGCTTTGTCGACGGCAACAAGGTAGATGTGATATAGTACCTCCATATCCTCGATTCCTTTCCTCACCTCTTCTACTTGTGGCTTAGCCCCGCCCACAGGAGATGCAAGGAAGGGAGAGAAGAGTCGAGGATTAAACAAAATGAGACTTTCTTTCTTCAGAGACGTCATTTTTTTTTTTAAAGCGCCGTCAATTAAATAGGACGTGTGGCCCAGCTGCATCAGCTGTCCATTCTTTTGTCATACAGCTGCATTTTATGGTCTCTGTCAGATGAGCATAACGGTGGTCATATATGTGTGTATATGTATACACACATACACACACATATATATGTGTGTGTATATGTATACACACATACACACACATATATATATGTGTGTGTGTGTGTATA